ATTAACTCTTTGATAGAGTAATGAATATTTCAGAGATACAAGAAATATAATTTGTGTTTGTTTTCTAATCTCTAAACTTAGTTTCACTTTAAATGGTGAATAGAAAGGAAAATGGTCTATTAATAATGAGGATGGAAAAAAATGTGGTGGCTATACTAAATCGATAAAAGGACCAAAGAAGTGGCGATAAATTTCTAACATCTTACGTTGACAAAGATTTCATCACACACCAAAGTAATGTGAGTCACAATAGGATGAGCTTGTGAATAAGTAAAAGTAGATTAATGACTATGAGAGCAACATCCCATCAAAAAAACCATCCTACTTTAACAATGAGTTTACTAAAGATGCTTAATCTTCCTCATGCATTCGACAAAAGCCTCTACAATGAGATATAAGTATGGATGATGCAATAGAGAGTTAATGTTCTAAGTAGCTATTAAGTTAATACATTCATGGGTTCCACAATAGCAAACAAGTCACCAAGCTATGGTAAGTTCATTTGTCCTTTTATGATTGACTTTTGTTTCTCTTTTTTCCAGAGACAAACACAATGGTAGATTCAGATCCAGACATTGTATTTGAGACACAAGATATTAGTGATGCCAATGAAGACATTCTGGAAGTACAAGTTGGCAGGAAAAAAGTTGCAATAACTACAGGAAAAAATCACAAATTTACTCCCAAGGGATCTGATGGTCTCCTCCAATGAAGTGACAAACAAAAGAAAGCAATGATGAAGCAACTTACTTAGTCCAAACACTATAGGAGACCCTTCAATAGTGGGAGATCCTCTTGAGGAACTTTTAACTCTATGACCATTCTTGCCTATTGCCCCCATTCCTAAAGGATAATTTGAGTAATATCTTCCTTCTCAAAATTTATTTCATCTAAACTTTATTCAATGTAAATTACCTTTATTGCAATCTTTAATAACGTTTTTTGCTAATGCTACACATTTCAATGGATATCTTCATAGTCAAAGCTCATATATTAGTATATAAAATATATTATTTTACCTCTAATATAGTCTTCAATTGGATTTCCTGCTCATAATAAATATTTTGATGGATATTTTCCTACTCAAATTTATATACATATTTCAAAAATTTAATTATTAAGTGAGTTATCTTTGTCATAACTTCCAAATGAAGTGCTTCAAAATTTGGTGGATGATAAATAAATCATCTGATCTAGGTTCTAAGATTGCATGTAAGTGTGAGAGGAGCCTCATAATTGATTATAATCAAGGCAATTTACACTCCTTGTTTCAATATTGTAAATTTTTTCTGATATTTTGAAATGTTTTCTTTTGTTGCTTATGGACAATTATACCACCTCTAAAAAGCCTAATAACTTTGTCTTTCAACTTTGATGACAAGATATTATATAGCTTGATCTGAAGAAGATTATATATAGGATTTACAAACATTTTTTTATTGAATTTACTTAAGACTTGTTAATGTTTCTCACTTTAATAATCACACCATCAAATAGTTTTTCATATTCATGGTTTTGAATAAAACTATGATCTTTGTAATAACTAGTAAATTAATACCTTTCATGAACTTTAGTAGTAAGTTGGTGAACTATCTAATCATCCTTTGATGGGGAGTATATTTATTTCCAAATAAGAGTGTAATTTTTGTATTGGCATAAAATGCCATGCACAAAGATGCATAGAGTGTATATATTTGGAAGAACACAAATCCTGAGGAAGTGTTTTTTCATCAAAAAGGTGATTAAGGTAAAAGTTATCTTACCATTGAGATTCAAACTATCTGATATTTCCAAAAGATGGTGAACCTTGTAAAGATTATAGTGTTGTTTTTCATCTACCTCTTCATGCCCTCAAGTATGTGATCCATTTCTTTCTTCTATGCTTTGGAACTAAATTGCATCACTTCGTTCATTGTAGCCTTTGATACAGCTTTTGGAACTAATCAATATAAAATAAAGCTTTCATTTATTTTAAAGTTGATAATCTTTAATAATTTATAGTTTTCATGTTTACTTTTGATTATCATGGAAATGGTATTTTAGTTGAAGAGTTTTAACTTTTAGTGAGAAAAGAGAAAATATGAAGAATTGGATGATAATTGTTAAGAATCAAGTTTTAAAACATATGCCAGATTATTAACTATGTGTGATTGATTGATGATGCTGAAACAGAGATTAATCCTATAAAATAATTAATTAAATATGCTATAATATAATTTTTTATGCTTTCAAATAGAGCTACATTCAATTTCTAAATTCTATTATATACTTGGCACATAAAGAGTAATTGACTCAAATATATTATTTTTAAGGTGAAATTATAGAAAATTATGAAGGAAATAGCGAAATATTTTAGAAATATTATATATCATTCAATTCACACAACTTTCTATGATAATACTATTATACAAGTTGAGATTAAACAATTTATCAAACATTTTGAGGTAGATTTTTAAAATGAAGAAGCATTTTAAGTATTCTCAAAATGAATGGAAGGATAAAATTAGTAAGTGAATCAATATTTTGAATTTTATATTTATTTTTATTTTTATATAATAGATATGTAGGTTCTGCTATATGGAATTTCCCTCATGCTAACAAGATAAAAAATAGTTTGATTGAGCATTTTTATGTAGTTAATAAGTTGATAGCAAATACTTTTTATATAGATTGTTAATATCCTACATAGTTAGAAAATAATTTTAACAAGAAGGTTTACCAATTGATTTATTCCTTCTCACAATTAGTATATGCTTATTATAAATATAATTTGATATGAAATCTCATTGGATCATATGAATCACCCAATATTGAATATCTACTAAAATCTTATGAGGAAATAATGAATTTTTTCTTGTCAAATCATGTTAACCATGACAAGAAATCCCAATATATAATCTGCATATAATCAAACCATTCATAAATTGTTTGACCAAAAAATTGCAAAAGCAACACTGGACCTGGTCTACTTCTAAGTCCTAACTTTGGTGTAAATTCAGCAAGTTTAGTAGATGTTTCACATGTTTTCTATATTCATTATGTCAAGAAGTTAGTAATTATATTTTGTTATCAAAGAAAATACCTGATTAACTTTGAGTAGTTAGGATTATGATTTTTGTTGGACAAAAATGCCATTTTCATGGAATTCTTGCACCTCATCAAGTCATAGTGGATCTTAAATGATTTTCTTAAATTAATATGAAGTTAAATTGATTTTTTACTTGATGTACTACTGTTATACTTGAATTTTTTAGGTCAATTAGCATCATGAAATTTAGCGAAGTGTTGGGAACAGGATGGGGGCACAATATGGCTAAATGGCCACTAACTATATGGGAAACAATTAGGGTGCACACTGGGTGTAATCTAAGATGCTGGTGGGCAGGTGGGAGTGCATGTGGGAGCCACACGCGGGTGGGATCTTAGTGTCTGACAAGATTATGCAAACAAGTTTGCAAGCTTTTTTTTTTCTCCATTGTAAATAAATATTCATTCAACTGTTGTGTGGACTCTTTAGTGGCACTCCCTCTCTTTGTATCAGATTTTCGTTGTAGTTTTGAACCCTCAAGTTTTATAACTATAATTTTCCAAAAAGAAATTAAATAATATTAATATCATTACCAATAATTAACACAATCATCAATTAATCATAAATCAATCAAAATTCATTAATTGATCAATTCAACTAAAGTAGTATCATACTTTGTCTACCATAAAATTCCTTGTGAAATCTAAAGTGTCTTATAGTGCTTAAAGTTTGCTATCCATCCAACAACTATAAGCCCTATCCAATACCTCTCCAAAACTCACCTTTGTAATCCCAGAAACTTATAGGAATACCTAAGTCTCATTCTATAGACCAAAGCTTTCATGGCCTTAACTTGTCATATTGATCCTTGAAACAATGCTAGGGAACAAATGTAGTGGAGTTAAAATATATAGATTTTAAGCTTTCCAATACAAATGCATAAATTTCTTGAAATAAAAAAATTTCACTGTAGTCCTTGATCATATTTTAACCTTCAAGAAACATTCCACCACGCTCACAGCCTCTGCTTTCAGGAAAATTTGACGTAATAAGGCCCAATAGAGGATCATAGTATCCAACTATGAAGCCTGCATAAACACCAATTATCATTGCATATGTTGAATACAACATCCGTATGCCTAGGTATGAAGATAATCATTCATACAGATACATCTTCTCAGACTGTTAATTTGGTTTCTGGACCTCTCAAGTTTGGGAAGAAAGCTCCAGAGGCTGAGAGATGGAAACGACGAGCTAGAAGATGGGAAAGAGAACGAAGATGGCGATGGAGGCTAGCCAAGGTCACAAGATCAAGTAAAAAGCATATTCCATTCTAGGAAATCCACAGATTTTTCCCTGGATTGTCTGGTAGACTCCCACTGAGACTCCTTGTGAAACTAAAAATATACCGCCCCATAGACCTGGAACAAACCTCCTCAAATGCTGGAATTTAACATCAACCTTGGTAGTAGGATCGATCCTCAACTGAAGACCAAAGGGCTACCTATACGTTCTTGAAGTTTGCTTGACTTCCAACAACTATAAACTCTGTCCAATACCTCTCCCTCAGCGTCACGGAAACTCTCCAGTAAAATCTTGTACTCCCAGACGATTCTTAGATACTTGTACACCTCAGAATGGGATCATACTGAGAACAAATGTAGTGATCATATGAGCGTAGTGGAATAGCTTGAATTTTGACGCAATAAGACCTAACAAAGGATGTTAGACACTATCATTGCATATGATGCACCAGCAGCTTGATCTCTGTTGTATCAAAGGCTATCAAGCAAAAGAAAGAACCAGGAGAGACTATAAACACTCGGATCTGGTTTTTGGCAAACCTGGGCATATAACGCGACTGTGCTCTAATAAAAAACCCCAGTGTTCCTTTTAGCAGAAGACCAAGACCCCAAACCCTAAATTTTTGTTTGTTTTGACCGGGGAATCGAACGGCTGGTTGGTGCTTCCACGTGGCGCAACATGTGCCGTCAGCTCCCCCAGTGTGGACTCTACATAGCTGAGGTGAGGATAACCCCTGAGGAGAGAGAGAGAGTGAGGTTTTTGGCGAGAGGAATGGCTATGGCGACTGCTGGAGCAGCAGCATTCGCAGCGACTGGCCACATCGTGGGAGGAGGAGCCACCTCCTCGTCCTCGTCTGCCGCCTCTGCTGCTCCATGCCGATCGTCCCTCTTCAAGGCATTCGATGCGAGGCTAGGAGCGTCCAAGATTTCCCACCTCCGCCGCCCCGCCGCGCGGATCCAACCTAGGAGAGCTTTCAGGAGCCTGGCTGCTAGCGCGGTGAGTCTAGCACTTTTCCATGGAGATTTCGACGCCTGCATTGTGGATTTTCCTCTTTTCTAGAGCTTGGATGTTCCATTGGTGGGAAACAAGGCTCCGGATTTCGAGGCCGAGTCGGTCTTCGATCAGGAATTCATCAAGGTATTTACGAGGAAAATGAAAGGTTACTCTTTGCTGTGTTCTTATTTCTCCCATGTCTTCGCCGCAGGTCAAGCTTTCGGACTACTTGGGCAAGAAGTACGTCGTTTTGTTCTTCTATCCTTTGGACTTCACGTTCGTTTGCCCGACAGGTTGGTCGGTGACAAGTGGAAGATTTCTTCTAACTTTTTCTTTTCCTCCTGCTAGAAATCACCGCTTTCAGCGATCGTTACTCAGAATTTGAGAAGATCAACACGGAAGTGCTCGGAGTCTCTGTTGACAGTGTGGTACGTGGAACTTTTCTCTTTAATTTTCTTTGCTCTCTCGCTAACAAAAGGATGCTCTTGCAGTTTTCCCATCTGGCTTGGGTTCAAACCGAGAGAAAGTCGGGCGGCCTAGGCGATTTGCGCTATCCCCTTGTTTCAGACATCTCCAAGTCGATCTCCAAGGCTTACAACGTACTCATCCCCGATCAGGTTCGTGACAAACTCCGTGTATACTTTGCGCAGATGACATTCTCTGTGTGTCCAGGGAATTGCCCTCCGAGGCCTCTTCATCATTGACAAAGAAGGGATCATCCAACACGCTACCGTTAACAACCTTGCGATTGGAAGGAGTGTAGACGAGACCTTGAGAACGCTTCAGGTGACGAAAGCTCTGGTGAATGCGAGTTTTAAGTTTTGATCTTTTTCTTCATTGTTTCTTCTAGGCGGTCCAATTCGTCCAGGACAATCCAGACGAGGTGTGCCCCGCCGGATGGAAGCCTGGCGACAAGTCAATGAAGCCCGATCCAAAGTTGAGCAAGGACTACTTCGCTGCTATAGCTTGAGCTCCCATGAGGCTCAAATAAACAGGTTTGTTTCGGTGGAATGCTCCCATGCAAGGAGATCTCGAGAGGCAAAAAGGGAGTTTTTGGTTTCTACATATTTGCAAGCTTACAAGATCACGAAGTTGAATGCAGTGGAAGCGTCGTTTGCTCTAGTTCCTCGCTCTGCTAGATTTGTTTCTTGGCTTTGCCATTCCTGGGCTTGCCGGTGTTCACGTCCACCCCAAAAGCGCCGAGGCGTGCCGACAGCTTCGCGATCTCGCGCACTGCGCCATCACTCACCGTGCTCTTGTCGCTCTCCAGCTCCTCAAACGCCGCCTCGAACGCATCCTGCCAGAAGCTGCCACTGCTCTTGTCCTCCTTGCTGCCGAAACGGTAGCCACTCCAGGCATGCCGCACAATCTTCTCTCGCATCTCCGCCTCCTGCCAAGATACAAGCCTACATTGTCGATCCAAGCCAGCCACCACCACCACCCAAGACAAAGCAAACCCACCAGTGGATCCACACTCGCCAATTCGTCCTCGTCGCCACCTCCTCCATGGTAGTGATCCATGGCCGCCAACCAGAAGCGGCTCGTTTGCGTGTGTGCTGCGGCGGACCATTTCCTGGCCAGGCCCAGCCCCGCGCTCCCCGACAGCATCGACCACACCGCCAGCAGCAGGATAATCGCCACTGCCCACGCCTTGTAGCCGTGGTTCCTCGTCCACCACCCCACCTCCTTCATCGCTTCTCCTCTCCCCTGTGACCTATATCTTCTCTCTCACGCGTCGAAAACTTACATATATTCACATCCTCCACAACACAAAACTTTCACTATCTTCGTTCGCCACCACTGCTGCCGCCACCACTTCCAGGACCGCCTCTAGTCTTGCCTTCGAACAGCTCGCCCAGCAAGCGATCCAAGTCGTCCGCCGTGTACTTGATGTACCTCTGCGTGTTCTTCCCATTCTCCAAAATGGCACTGCATTGCAGAGCATCCGTATCTTCCCTCGTGAACAAAACAAAAGAAAAAAAAAAAACCTGTAGCGTTTGATGAAACTCCGGTATGCTGGGAGTAGCACCTCGGCGACAGCCAGCCGCACCGCATCTCGCAGCTCCGCGTCTGGAATGGTCCATTGGGACTGCCGTTGATGAAGCTCCTCGAACAAAATGTTGAAGTTTTTGAACCTGTGTGAACTCTCACCTTGACAACAAATAACAAGAAAGAAAACCACTCACAAACCTTTCTTTCAGCACGGCTCTGGATATCCCACTGCTGGTTCCGTCAGGAGCTCCTCCCGTACTCATCCCGCTGCCTCCCGAAGAGGACGACAATCCCTGGCCACTGAGGTATTGAAGTAGCTGCAATACCCAGCCAAGTTTGCTTCAAGCAAGCCAGGAAAAAAAAAACCAATACCTTTCCCCACGCTGTGCGCTGATATGCCTGAGCATGCTGCTGGACGATGCGGCGATGCCTTTGAATCCAGTCATCCCCGAGAAGGTCTTTAGCCTCCGACCTGCAGAGAGGTATGACTTTTAGCTCCCAAGGCTTGCTTGCTTGCTTATACCTTCGCACGGATTTAACCATGTAATGGATGTTGTTCATGAGAAAGATATGCGTCAGAGCAGGGTCCTTGTACTGCTTCGCCTTAGAGTCAAGATTGTTCTGTAAAACGACCATAATTTTCGATGTCGCTGCTGCCAACCGGGAACTCGACACATCCTTGTCCTCCTCATCAAAGAGTTGCCTCAATGTGATTTGGTAGCTGCTCGAAACCAAAGGAGACAAACAAACAGCAAGTTATGTCCAGCTACCAGAGGCAGATTAACCACTTACTCAAAGAGAAACTTGACATAGTTAATGACGTAACTCGTAAGCGGGTGGACCGTACCATCCTGGACAGCAGTTTTGGTTGCGTCTTTCTCCACAGCATCCAGAAAATCATCAAAGGTATCACGAGCAGTTTGTGCTAGCTTCTGAGTGAGACCAGCAGCTGCATCACGAACAGAAGCTGATGTCTCCCCTGCGAACATTGTTTTCATCTGCACAGCGCAGCCAATTAAGAAACCAGAGACGAGATGAGATACCTCCGGCAGAAGATCATGCATAGTCTCGAACATGTCCAGGAGCACAAAGAGCTTCTCAGGGGACTTTTTGCTCCTAGCAATGGCTTCGCCGGTGCTGCTCAGCACGCTGAAGCTGTTCTGAGTGATTTCTGCAAAACAAGCCTCTCGGTAAGGATCTAGGCCATCGAAGACTTGATTGCAGAGCTTCCATTCCGCTGCAAAGAGGAGTTTGACCTGTGTTTTTTATCCTTCTCTTATGTTAAAGCGCAACAAAAAACTTCTCTCTCTATGAAAGAAAAAAATAAAAATGGAGACAAAAGAGAAAGAATGACTTACAGCAGCGCGCATGTGTTGGATCCAGTTGCCAATCTTTCCCTCCAGCACCTCCCATTGTAGTTTTTGGACGTCTTCTCGCGTGAGCTTCTCCACTCCTAGCTTACGGAGGCTCTGCTCCAATACAGATGCTCTCGCGTCTCTGCAAGGTAAAAACTAAGTTATGATGTAACAGTTTTCCCTTAGACCAAACCTGTAAGTTTTCAAGCATTGCTGGTGGTGACCAGAGCCGATCATGCGCTCAGCGATATCGTGCAACTGAGGGACAATCCTGGGGGGGAGTAGCATCGGAAGCACAACCGCATCGTTGGTGGTGGCAGGAGCATCAGGTGTAGAATTGTCATGGTGCGCTGGGGCAGTCTTGGGCAAGGATTCCAAGAGCCGTGCTGGTTCCACCGGCTTGCTGCACAGAGGGAGCCAAGATGAGATGAGAAACAAGAATGAGAGAAAAGAAAACGCCTGTCTTACCCGTGCTGGGAGAGGACAAGTTTGAGCTCTCCATTTAGCTTCTCCATGGCTTTGGAAAGAAGCGTACGTGCATGGGTGAGCGCAGCGTCGTCATTCTTAAAGCTGCGATTGTAAGTAAAGAACTCGATGTTGCGCTTGATCTCATCCACGGCCGCGACGTAGCCTCCCAGATCCTCCCGAGGCCCTTTGAGGATCTTGGTTTCCACCTGACAGATAAGCAGTGATTCTCTTTTCACTTCTCTCTCCTTGGAAAATGTCTTACCTGCCGCGACACATCAAAGCGCGTGAGAATCGCTTGAGCCGCCTTGAGCGTCTTGTCGATGTTGTGGTGGACAGTCCTGTACGAGTGCGTGCGCAGCTAGCGAGAGATCACGATGAGGAGGAATCGAGAGAGAGAGAGAGAGACGCTTCGATGAGAAATTTCTTACCTGCGTGGGGCGCATGGCGGATTCCAGGCCCGACAGCCGCGCATCGAACGATCCCAGGATGCTCATCACGCTCTGCGTCACGCTCTGGCTCCTGTGAAGGCTGTCGCGCAGCAGCAGCGCCGTCGCCGCCAGGGCGTCGCCATCCATCGCCATTCCCCTGTTCTCCCCTAACCTAGATAGGGTTTATTTGGAGCCAAGGGAAGACCAAGAAAAAAAGAGGAGTACTCATGGATGAAGATGGACACAGTTGCGCTCCAGGCCATGATCCGGAGCTGTGGCCACGCCAAGGATTTGGCGCAAGCGCGCCGGCTCCACGCCTTGGTCGTCCAGCAGCACCAAAATCAAGATCACCAGCAGCAAGCGCGCTTCCACTTGAACCTCCTCATGGAAATGTATGGCAAGTGTGGAAGCGCCGACGATGCAGCGGCCATCTTCTCGACCCTGCCTCGTCCCAATCTCTTCTCCTGGACAATCCTCCTCACGGCATTTGCCAGCAACGGGCATGTCCTGCAGGCGCGAGAGGTGTTTGACGCAATGCCCAGGCGCGACATTGTGGCCTGGAACGCGTTTCTTGCAGCATCTTCGTCTACAGATCACCTTGAACAAGCTGAGAAAGTTCACTCGAAAATGCCGCAATGGAACGCATCTTCATGGAATGCTCTCGTTGCAGCAAATGCCGAGGCTGGGCATTTGTCTCAGGCAGCAAAGCTGCTCCACGCTATGCCCCAGCCGAACACGATCTCCTGGACAGTTATGATGGGAGCCTACGCGCGCGCCGGGATAACGGATCTCTCTGTGGCCATCTTTGACGAGTGCATTCCCTCGGGGCGCGACGTGGTGGCCTGGAACGCACTGGTAATGGCATATGCCGCGGCGGGGCAAGACGGGCATGCCGCGCGGACCTTCGGCTGCATGCCGTGGCACGACCAGGTGGCCTGCAACGTCATGCTGCACGCCCACTGCGCGGCGGGCAGGATGGGCGACGCCGGGCGCTTCTTCCACACGGCCATGCTGACGCACGACACGGTGTCGTGGAACGTGCTGCTGCACGGGTATGCGCGGCTGGGTCAGCTGGAGGATGCCCAGCGGGTGTTTGACGCCACGCCGCGCAAGGACGCCGCGTCATGGACCGCCATGCTTACCGCCTACGGCTCTGCGGGGCGCGTGGATACCGCACGGCGCCTGTTCGACGCCATGCCGCGCGGCACACGGACTGTCATCACCTGGAACTCGATGCTCGGCTTCTTTGCCGACAACGTCGCCACCTTCACGTCCTTCCGCCAGAAGATGCCCGCTTGGGATACAACCACTTGGAACGTCACTGTGGCTGCGCTTGCTCGCGCTGGACAGCTCCAACAAGCAATGGAAATGTTTGAATCGACACCACAAAAAAACCAGCTCTCTTGGAATGCTGTTGTTGCAGCAAATGCCCAAGCCGGGCATCTGAATAAAGCCGAACAGTTTTTGTCTCTCGCCCCGGCTCCCACCACGAACACCTGGAATGGCCTTATTGCCGGCTATGCCCGCCACAGCGACACCATTACCGCATTCCACCGTTTCCGTGACATGCTACTGTGCGGCATACCGCCCGATAACATTACCTTTGTGTGCTTGCTGGTGGCATGCAGCCACGTTGGGCTTACCGCCGCGGCATGCCGGCTCTTCCGCTCCATGCAAACCGACTGGCAAATCACTCCCACGCCCGACCACCACAGCTGCATTGTCGATAGCATCGCGCGATCCGGCCAGCTTGTGCTCGCACAAGAACTTGTCGAGTCACTCCCGCAGTATCGCCCATCAGTCGCCTCGCTTGTATCCGCCACGGCCATGCATTGTGACGACAAAGTGTTACAAAGCGTCTTGTCACGCTCCGCTTTCTCTCCTATCTCCTATTATTCAACATATATGTCAGTATGATAATTGTCCAAACGCTACAAACCACCATAGCTGTGCTAGCTAGCTCACTAGCATCACTGGAAATATATCCACATTCCACTACTATCGCGTCGCTCACTCGATCGATCGCCTCTAGACAGTGTAGGCCTGCTGGATGGTGTTGATGTCCAAGCCTTTCAACCTCACTACAGATTCGACGTGACCCTTTAAAGTGTGAAGCTCTCTCAACCTGCATTGCCATGCATCCGCGGCTTAGCCTTGTTGACACACAAAAAACAAAGGAAAAACAGAAAAGTACCTTGCAATCTCGGCTCTCCTTAAAGCCTGCTCGGCCATGTCTGACGTCTCTTTGTGAGTACCCTTCTCGGGTATCTTGAAGTCCGGTGGCTGGAGCCCGTGTAGAGTTCGTTGCGCCTGAGCCCACTTCACTTCCCGAGCCTCCCTTCCGAAGTCTTTTTGGCGCGTAAAAGCAGTCTGGAACACACCAAAATGGAAATAGTCAGTCTCCCGGCAGGCAAAGGTATAACACCACTTACTCTTTGCTCGAATAGAAGCTCCCATGCTCTGCCACTTAGTATGTAACGCACAGCGAACTTGATAACATCCAGAGGGAAGTAGAAGACGATGTTGTATAGCCATATAACACCGGCCCAACCCCAGCCAATTCCCTCCACAAAGGCAAAGCCCCAGTTGGCGTACACGGCAATAAAAGTCGCAATCTGACAATAACATCTCTCGCTCAATCCGAACCAAAATCAAAATTGTGTAACTTACCAGCTGGGCAATAAGAAACGCCACAACGAGAAGAAATCCAGGCCTTTCCATGAAGGACCAGCTTCTCGACCTCGTGACGAAAATCAGAGCCTGGCTTACGATACTAACTTGCAAATAGATGGCCGAATGCATTTTGTTGGCATCGCTTCCAATGTGAGGAACGTGGAAATGGTCCTAAAAGAAAAGAATTTAGCGTTGATACTGAAACACAAGTCTACTTACAGGGAAAAAGGTAGTCTTGTCTGCCAGCCAGTAGAAAATGACTGTCATAAGCGCAAGGTAACTGCCGATCACAACTCCTGTCGCAAAAATCTCCGAGAGCTTCCAACTGTCAGGCAAAGGAGATGGTTTCACTCTGTCCTTGGAGATGGTCATGATTGTGCCTGCCCAGCAACAGCAAGGTCATAAACAGCGAAGAGAAATCTTTTACGTACCATCGTTCAATATTGCAATGATTAGCACCATGAATGGGGGAAAATCGAACTTCCATATCAACGCCAGCAGCATAAAACCAAGCTAACGAAGAAAAACATGTGTATCAAAATCCTTTGAAGTCAAAGAAAAGTGCATACTTACCACTATCCTTATAGTGATGGATACGGCATAAATCTGTAAAACCACACATAAGCTAACAAGAGACCATCGAATGTATCAAAACTTACAGTATAGTTCTTCATCCTCTGAAAAATCGCGCGACTTGTTAGCACGGCGCTTATTATCACGCTCAGGCCAGGTTCTGTCAGGACTATATCTGAAGCACCCCTTGCTGCATCTGTTGCATCTGCCACTGCAATTCCTATATCTGCCTTCTTCAGAGCAGGCGCATCATTGACACCGTCACCAGTCATTCCACATATATGCTTCTTCATTTGCAAGCGCTTTACTATCTCGTACTTGTGCTCTGCACATGAGAAAGGTAACATAGTTGGCTTCAGCAAATAACAAGATTACCTGGAAATACCCCCGCAAATCCATCGGCTTTTTCAATCAGTTCGTCAATTGGCAATCCTTCAAATGCCTCCCCTTTGCTTTGTCCAAGAAGCGAAGATGACGGATACATGTTAGTTCCCATGCCAAGACGTCGGCCAGTTTCTTTGCCAATAGCAAGCTGGTCCCCTGGCGGTAGTGACACGTAAAAAACCAGCACCAGAATGCTCAAGAACAGACGTACCAGTTATCATCTTTACGTTGACCCCAAGATTCAGGGCCCTACGAATAGTCTCGGCGCTGTCATGCCGAGGAGGATCAAACAAAGGCATTAAGCCTACAAATTGCCATGGACCCCCTGGACTCTCTTTGTTGCCCTCGGGAACGTCCTGTAAGTACATATGCTGTTAGCATTAGCAGCCAACAGTCCAACATTCCATTACCTGGCATGCGACTGCAAGAGAGCGAAGGCCACGCTCAGCAAATTTGTCAATGACGGCGTGCACCCTTTGAGCAATCTCAACCTTATTGTAAGAAAGATCTAATATCTGCATATACGCCCACGGCTTAGAGCTGCAACCAAACAACATAGAGAAAACACCTGCTCAGGTGCGCCTTTGCTGGCTCTGTGCATCTTCCCGTCAGAGTCAATATAAGTCAGAGCAGTACGCTTATCCGTAGGATTAAATGGAAGAAAGTGAACTTCCTCAATACCAGCACGGGCCTAAGCAGTTTACATCATAAGAAAACAGTAGGAAACAAAACCGATAACGTACCTCCTTTGGATCAGCAAGCGTACCGACAACAGCTGCGTCAATGGCATCTTGATTTTCCATCCTTGACGCTCTAGCAGCAAGTAGCAAAACGTAATCTTTGTCGTATCCTTTTGCAAAAACCTGTGCAGAACGAACACAGCACTTAAAAACGTTCAGTCTTGGATAAAACTTAAGTACCTCCACGAGATTCTTGTCGACGGTTAGCTTATTCAAAGTTAAGGTGCCGGTCTTGTCACTGCAAAGGACATCCATTCCTGCCATCTCCTCTATTGCAGTCATTCGCTTAGTAATAGCACCCTGACCAAACACATGCCCATTGTCAGCATTCCTGATCACTAGTTTCTTACCTGCTGCGCAAGCCGGTGAGAGCCAATTGCCATTGTCACGGAGAGAACAGTGGGCATAGCGATGGGGATGCCTCCAATCAAAAGTACCAGCAGGTTGTCAATCCCAGACCTGTAGGTTCTATGTTGGATGGGGTACATTACTATAAGTTCGATAACCATTCCAATCGCAATGGAGCATATGCAGAAGTTTCCGATTGCTGTAAGAACCTGCGAGAGAAAGAAAACAATGAAAAAACGATTGCAGAAAAAAAAAAAATTCAAAAAGGAAATGATATTACCTTCTGGAAATGACCGACTTGATTTGTAGTGTCTACCAGATGTGCAGCCTTTCCAAAGAAAGTGTGAACCCCCGTCCCTATCACAACTGCCTCAATCTCTCCTTGCTTGCATGTCGACCCCGAGTAAACTTCGTCGCCAGGATACTTGGTAACAGGTAGAGATTCGCCTGTAAGCGCGGACTGCAAGTCAAAAACATGCGCAAACCATTAGAGTCGTAAGGTGACGCTTGTTCTGCGTACCTGGTCTATTTTGAGAGGGTCTCCTTCAAGTAAACGGGCGTCCGCTGGAACGATATCTCCCAACTTGATGCTTACAATGTCACCGGGAACTAAAATACTGGCATCCTGCTCGCCCCATCGACCGTCTCGCAACACCTGAAAGAAACATAGAAGAGAAATAGAAAGGACAATAAAGTCACGAGCTGCTTAAGACAGAAAGTACAACTAAACTATGCTTACCTTAGTCTTTGGTGCAAGACGCGCCATTAAGGCCGCCGCCGCATTTCCAGCGTTGTTTTCTTCAATGAAGCTTATGGTTGAGTTAATGACGAGCAATGCTATGATCCCAACGAAGTCTTGCCAGTCGGGCGGCCGATTCTGTCAAGGGCGGCATACATATCAAGCAGGCTAGAAACATGACAGTACTCACGTCTCCGTTAGCGAGAGCTATGGCCATCACTGCTGCAGCTTCCATCACCCAAGACAAAGGATTCCACATGAATCCCAGGAACTTAAAAAACTTGCTCTCCTGCAATGCAAAGTGCCAGTTATATTCCTTATCACTTGGTGTTAAGAGGCATGCTACAAACCTGCTTCTCCTCTAGCCTGTTATGACCAAAAATTTTGAGGCGCTCCTCGCCCTCCTCGCTCGTCAGACCTTTCCTCGTGCATCGCAGTTGATCAAAGACCTCCTCAATGGGAATGTTTTCCTGGCAGCAGCAAACCAAAGAGATTATCGATTTTCCATCACCCCAGAGGAAAGATTTCCTACCAGATCAACGGCCTCCTTGTTAATGGCCTCGAGCATTGCAGCCTTGCTGGGCTTCTCTACGTCGTTCTCCATTCTCCGTGAAAAGCAAGCCCCAAAATCACCTCAATTTCTTCGGGAGATCGGTGCCACGATTCAAGCTGTATCTCTGCCGCCTAGGCGCCGCAGAGGCGCCGTGCGAGCGGAGGGGCGATTCCGAGCGGCGATTCCCAAATATTCTAACTAGCTGCTTAGCTCGATGCGAGACGCGGCGCCGCAGATCGGCATCCAGTGCATGGCCGAGACAAAGAAATCCTCCAGCAGCGGCTCGAGCAGCAGCCAGAGCTTGCGCGCATTGGAGGAACCCTGCTGCTGCCTCCCTCAATTGAAAAGCCTGACACCCAGTGCCGGATCCAACGGCCAGGATTTTTCGCGATTGCAGGCCGGAATGGCCAGCAGATACGGAATGCACGGTCGGCCCGGATCAGGCGCACTCACACGCACACGAACCAGAGCAAAAGTGGGATATAGCCTATAGCATCCAGCTAAAATGCCCACTACTCCAGCTAGCTGGCTCCTCCGCTAAAACCCGCGCCGCCTCCATATCTGGAGGGACGCGCCCTTGGAGGCCCAGCGAGATAGCGGTCGATCCAGCAACTACAGCCACGCTGCTAAATCTAGCGACGCAAGTCGTTAAAGGAAGAAGACTGAGGTGCGGTACGTACCTTCTTCCTCTTCTTCAAAGGCAGGCCACCAAACACCAAACAAATTGTTCCATCCTCCAATCGCCATGTAGGCTATGGTCCATGCCATGCCATGGCATCCCATTTCTTATTTCTTACATCTGTTTCTTGTTGACTTTTCTCCTCTCGTACTTGTGCGTGTCCTCCGTGCGTCCGGCCCGTACTTGACCGTGCATGGCATGGCATGTGTATGGCCATGATGCCCATGTGCATGGCCATGTGCCGCATTCCCTGTCCTAACGTTACTGTCTGGGTGTAATCGATTAATATGCTCTCCTTTTGCTTTCGTTTGAAAAGAAGGGAAGACGATAGGGAGAAGGATTGACCCGAAATTTTTCACGGTCTCGCATATTAAATGAGAGAGCAAGAAGAGACGTCGCAGACAACACCACGGGCTTTGTCTGACTGCCGCTTCTAGAGGATGGGACGAATTACCTCTTTAATTTATATGATGATACTTATGCCCAGCCAGGGCAACTACGTGGTTGGCAGCATTGCACGACCGGCGATGACAATGCCCCAGCGAGGCAATCACGCAATAGCACCAGCCAGCCAGCCAGCCCTGGTGGAATGAGGTGCCCATGATAATACCGCCGCCTCATCTTACCCACATTCGCGCCTGGATGCCATTCAAGCGCCGGGGCTAGGGTTTATCCAAGATCTGGGCTATGGCTGCCGCATTGGCGGGCGCTTGCGTGGTGCCGGCGGAGGCAGCGGCGATCCGGCGGAGCGGAGCTGTGGAGTTAAGGCCGCGAGAGAGATTTGTTGTGGAGCAGCAGCAACGGATATGGCGGGCGGCGACGAGCGGCCGAGAGCAATGTAGGTCAGGTGTGCGCATCAGGGCGGCCAAGAAAGTGGAGACCGGGCGATCCTTGGTGATGAGCTCCACTCTGGTTGCCGAGGAGGGCAAGGAGGAGGCGGTGGTGGATTTGTGCAAGGGGATTCTGGATTGGGCCAGCGAATGCCAGGTATTTTTTGGAATTCTAGTAGCGAGAGAGATGGATTTGGCTGATTGCTTTTGGCGTTTCCTTGATTCGATAGAAGAGCGACAAAGCGTGTGGCGTCCTCCAGTTTGAGTGCAAGGCCGATTTGCAGGAGAAGAATGTGTACCACTTTTGGGAGCGATACGAATCGTTTCTGCATCTCACGACGTTCCGAGGTTCTCCAGAGCACGTCAAGTTCATGAAGGACGTAAGCTAGTTCTCCTTCTCTTTCACTTACGTCCATCGCCATCTCCATCTCTGGTTTTGATGGATTGATGTGCTTGCTTGCTCCCAGGTGAGACCGCTGCTCAAGAAACCAATCGGCCTCGTTGCGTACGAGTACAAGGACGGGCAGATCGGGCACGCGCGAGTTCTCATCGGTAAACTCCTTCCTTTGTATGGAACGCATGGAGATGGAACGATCCAGTGGATTGATGGCAGGGCCCAAAGGCGAGGGTGGCTTGGACGATGCAACCGGCCAAGGCAAGCAAACATCCAGGCTCATCGCTCCAGGCGACACATACGACGACAGCCGCGAGGACTGGGGGCTCAAGGAGGCGCTGGAGGCCAAGAAGAAGCAAAAGGCCAAGCAGTGGGAAGCTATGGAGCGGCAGAAGCAAGCGTTCCTGGCGCGGTCGCAGAAAGGCAAGGACGAGGACGAGCCATTGTCTCCCGAGGAGGCGGCGCGGCAGAAGAAGGCCCTGGCGGAGATCTTGGGCCGCTTCGAGGCGGAGAAGGCCGCCAAAGCGGCGCAGGAGAAGGAGAATCCCGGCGGCGCCGCTGGTTGGGGAGATGGTATCAAAAACTTGTTTGGTCTCAAGAAATAGAAACTTGGCGCCACGGTTTTAAAGATGTGGTTTTAGGGCTTTTCTAGGGTTCTTGAAAAGCTATGGAGGAGGAGGCTGCATTGACGGAGCAGGAGACGGCCGTGTACGATCGCCAGATTCGTGTATGGGGCGTCCAGGCGCAGAGAAGGTGGGAAGATTTTCGTCATTCGCACTGATCGGCGGCATTGCCTTGCTCCAGGCTGAGCAAATCTCGAGTGCTTGTGGCTGGATTGACTGGTGTCACAGCGGAGGTACCAAAATCTCTCTCTTTTCTCTGTGAAACTGTGTGTGCTGGTTCAGGCATGCAAGAATCTGGTCCTAGCGGGAATTGGAAGCCTCGTTGTGCTGGACGACAGGCCGGCCGTGTTTGATCCTTGTTCTTCCACATTTCTGGTGTGCCATGACCACAACGCTTCCACTGACGAGAACAAGTCCGTTGCCGAGGTCTGTGCTGCCGCTCTTCGAGATTTCAACCCAATGGTCGACGTCACGAGTGCTCAAGGTACTGCTGCTCAACAGTTCTTCCTCTCAAGTGTTTTTGTTTTCTCTCTTAGGCACTTCAGTGATGGATGTGGATAACTACGACGTTGTCATCCTCAACCGTGCCGCTATCAAAGACAAGGTGTGTGTGTTTACTTTTCTGTTTGATTCCCCTCCTTTTGCTCTACTTTCTTGGATGCCTTTCTTGTCATTCCTCTGATTACTCTATGTGTTTCTGTTGACAGAGGAGAATTAATGAGCTGTGTCGCAGATCGGCTCACAAAGTTTCCTTCTACACTGTCGACTGCATTGGTTCACGGGGGGAAATCTTTGTCGATTTGCAGACCCATACTTACACTTCCAAGGTTTTCATTCTCCACTTTTTTTTCTTTTTATTTTTTGTCACAAATGTGCTTTGACCTTTTCTTTTACTTGGCTTACAGGCTGCGGCGGATGCTGCCGAGAGTTGCGAGCTTACAAAGAAGTTCCCAAGCTTTGAGGTGAGACCTTGTTTCCTGGATCATAAAACTGGTATACAATGTAAGCATGTAGGACGTATCAAGCGTTCCGTGGAACTGCCTTCCAAAGAGGATAAGTAAGCTCTTCTTTGCAATGCGAGGTAAGGGGCGTTCATTCATGTTGGGGGCTGGGTTCGCAACTATAACTTTGCTGGCCAGTCCTCGAAGAATTTGTTCAGGCGACGGGACGGCAAGCCGGCCCCGAAAATCTTCCGGAGCTGCTCGCGCTGCGAACGCAAATGTGCAGCAAACAGGTGGTGGTGGTTTCGTGTATTGCGGAAGCAAAAACTAACCTCCGCGATGGTTTTAACAGGGCGTGGCCGACTCGTTGATCCCGGAAAGCCTTCTCGCGGGGCTGGCTGGCGCGGACGGCACGGAGTTTCCACCGGTGTCTGCGATTCTGGGAGGCATCCTCGGCCAGGCAAGCCGCTCCTCTTCTCTTCCTTGTTTGCAAAGCGCTAAACTAAATCGCTACAGGAAGTAGTCAAGGCTCTGTCTGGCAAAGGAGATCCTTTGCGAAGCTTCTTCTACTTCGACACTGACGACGGCAAAGGAATCATCGAGGAGATAATCAGTTAGATCGATTACACGCACACCCATTTGTTTAGGGTTGGGGTACCTCTTTGGATCCTGGCAAGGCATGTAGTCACGATTCCACTCGCTGGCCCCAGCTTTGCGGGCGGCCTGGCACTAGACGGGGGTCACAGATTTGATGGCGTCTCGGCACGCCAGCACTAGCAGCAGCAGCAGTAGAAGCATTGGCGACGAGATCCAAGCCAAACACCAAGGGGGACAGGATGAAGAAGAAGAAGAAGAAGGAGAGTCGAGTGAAGAGGAAGAGGAAGAGGAAGAGGAGGAGGAGGAGGCATCGTCCGAGGAGGAGGGCGTCGACGAATACAAGCGTGGAGGCTACCACCCAGTGTGCATTGGCGATAGCTTCTCGGGTGGGCGCTACGTCGTGCAGCGCAAGGTGGGATGGGGTCACTTCTCCACGGTATGGCTCGCCTGGGACACCCAGCAAAAGGTGAGTGAGTCTAGAGTTTTTTTGAGTGACTGACCAAAGTTCTCTTCCTTGGCAACTTATAAACACCCCAACAGAGGTATGTGGCTCTCAAGGTCCAGAAGAGTGCCAAGCACTACACGGAGGCTGCATTTGACGAGATCTCCATCCTCAAGCAGATCGCCGACGGCGATCCCAGCAACTCCAAGTGCGTGGTGAAGCTTCTGGACCACTTCAAGCACTCGGGCCCCAATGGCCAGCACGTATGCATGGTGTTTGAGTTCTTGGGTGACAACCTCCTCACCATCATCAAGCTCTACAACTATCGAGGCCTGCCGCTGCCCATGGTGAAGCAGCTGTCCATGCAGATCCTCATCGGCCTCGACTATCTTCACCGCCAGCTCTCCATCATCCACACCGACCTCAAGCCCGAGAATGTGCTGCTCACGCTGCCGCTGGACCCGTCCAAGGACCCGCTCAAGTCTGGAGCTCCTCTCATCCTCTCCAAGCCCGCCGCCGCCGCCGCCGCCGCCGCTGCCACTGCCACTGCCGGCGTTACCAGCAGCTCGCAGCCGCTGTCCAAGAGCCAGAAGAAGAAGCTCAAGAAGAAGGCGGCCAAGGACAAGACTGGCAAGGACAAGGACATGGACAAGGCAGCCGAGGCGATGGTGGCCACAGTGGACGCAACAGCAGCGGCGGTAGAATCAGGCAAAGGCGGCAGTGATGGAGCTCCTCGACACGAGAACCACAAGATCCATGCTGATGAAGCAACAGGAGCAGCGGATGCCCAGGCTCCCGGGGAGGCCCCTCGGCTGGCCAACAAGCACGAGAAGCGGCTCAAGGTGACGGACCTTGGCGAGCTGGACCTGAGATGCAAGATTGTCGACCTGGGGAATGCGTGCTGGACATACAAGCAGTTCACCAATGACATCCAGACGAGACAGTATCGCAGCCCCGAGGTTCTTCTCGGCTGCAAGTACTCCACTCCGGTGGACATATGGTCTTTTGCTTGCCTGGTGTTTGAGCTAGCTACGGGTGACGTGCTCTTCGATCCTCACAGCGGTGACCAATTTGACAAGGACGAGGTAAAGCTACATTTTTGGAACTTTAGTTTCTAATTGCTTTCGAGCGCAGGACCATCTCGCTCTCATGATAGAGCTCCTGGGCCGAATGCCTAGGAAGGTAGGCACTTATGTTTTTCCCGTTCATTGCGCGAGCTTCTCTGAGTCATGCAGGTCTCGCTCGGCGGCCGCTTCTCTCGGGAGTTTTTCAATCGCCAGGGCGATCTTCGGCACATAAAGAAGCTACGCTATTGGCCCTTGGACAAGGTTCTGCACGACAAGTATTCCTTTCCTGCCCAAGATGCACAGGAGCTGGCCGAGTTTCTGTGCCCGCTCCTCGACTTCGTGGCTGACAAGCGCCCCACTGCTGGCCAGTGCCTTCTCCATCCCTGGGTAATTCCTGTGCCTCGGACGATCTCCACACCAGTGGCACCAGCAACACCAGCAGCAGCACCAGCAGTTGCAGCGGAGGTGCTTGTAGCTGCTCCTGCCGCTGGTGTCCTTGACAAGAAGAGAAGCGAGAGCAGCGAGGCCATGAAGAAGGCCGAGGTTGCCATGGGCAATATAGCTATTGCTGGGATAATTGCCGATGCTTCTCAACAAGACTAAATACTTTGTCTTTTTGTTGTATCGATTGTTCTCTATTTATGTCACACCTGACGGCCAATTCTCCAGGAAACTACAGGTTCCTTGTTTCTGGAAAACAATGTCATGAAACATCCAAATGAAAGCAAATTCTACTCAATAAATTCTTCAAAAAGATGCAAAAAGGAAAGAAACTAGGCATCAGCGACGTAAACTGATCATCTATGTATACATTTCTAACGTTCTCCAAAACTCTCACTTGAATGTATGAATCTTTTGGTGGTGACAAGTCCTGAATAAGTAAGAACAAGGTTTCCAGCTAAACATGAAAGAACATATCACTGAAGATCAAGATCAATGCACTGAGATGCCATTGTAGTCTTCGAGCCATTTGAGCTTGATGGTTCCTGGAAAGAATAAATCGGAAGATGATTTTGAACAAACTGGATTTTCGGAGGGTTTAGGGTTTAGGAATCATGTGACATATGCCACGTGTCCAAAGGATAATGGTGCAGAACTAGGCCTCTGAACAAAAGAACAGTGCCAAACTCCCAAGCATGGAGCCAAAGAGTGACGGAACCGGACCACGAAGCAACTCTCGAGCATACAACCTAAGAAGTGAAAGGACAGGAGTCTGGAGCGACTTGGAACAGTCCTAGAGCAATCGGCATCCCAATGCCAGGACTAACACGCAAAATGGAGCTAAACGAAGTCTGGCGTTATTTCGGCATATCAGTGGCTTAACACAAGGACATAGGTACTCTATTAGCTAACATGGAATGGAACTTGGGCTTAGACCCAAGCCAGACACAAAACAAGGACAAGCACACAAGCAAGACCTAAATTAGGCTTCAGGTTAGTCGGCCATGCCCGACCTACCCACTATCCCTACTATACATTTGGAATTCCTCCCCCCCCTTCCGCTTGAGGAACACTCGCTTTGCACTTTCACCCCAAGCTTCCTTTAGTATCAGAAGTTAGTCTCTGGAACAAGCTCGAAACTTACTAAATATGGAATGTCTCTAAATTGTGAACTTGGACACGGAACAAACACCATTGTGTTCAAGCTAACCTCTACATTCCGTAGATATGCCAAATGAGTAAATCTAAACACTTTCCATAAATAATATTTAGGACCGAAATGAGATTAACACAAAGGGCATGATAGCGAGGGTGTTTGGTAGACATGGTAAGTTATCATCTGTCGATATTGAGGGACTAATCTCAATACGCAAGGGTTCTTATCAAGCTAGTGCAAGACAGAGCAAAAAAGAACTAAAAGCCAAGCCAAGTATGCTCAGCTAGAAACACATAGGAGTTCTTACCTTATGTCCATCTGGCTAAATATAAGTGCTAAGCCTAGTTTACTAATACTTGAACAAGAGGGATTGATAAAAGGTCTAGCAATACTAACCTTTTGCCATCGTGGCAGTAAGGAAGGAGTGTCCGTAAGGACTGGCCAACATATAACTTTTGATACCCAAAGTCACCTGACGAGAGTGCTATACAATTACCATCGACTAGGAAACACAAACTCTCAAAGTAAGAGCTCGCATTCCAGTACGACCAACACATTGTAAGAGACCAAAATAATTACTCAAGAATTTAGACAAGATTGGACTACTAAAGAGATTTGCAATCGTTTGCATACCTGCTTAATCCCAAAGTTGGTGAGTAGTATCCAATATTACTAGTGAATAGCTATATCGATCAATTTATGACACAATTGACCTCCTTTCAATAAACAAAATTGTGCTTACTTACACCACCAGATTTTTCAAATACAAGACCTTTCCTGAGCTAGACTCAAGAAAGTGACCTTGAAAAAAAACTCGGGAAGAATTGAGAAAGAAAAACTCGATTGGAGACTCAAGACACAAGAGCTTGACTTTGCATTTATACTACAAAACCAAACTTGCAGAAGACTCAAAACACAAGAGCTTGACTTCACATTTATGCAAGAATCAAAACTTGGAAAAGACACAAGATGTAAGAGCTTGACTTTGCAATCTATGAAGAACAACATTTAACTCAAGACAACTTAGGCAAAACACAAATTTATACCTTGACATTCAAGTTGTGAAGACTTAGCAAACTGAATGTACAAACATAAATCAGACCCAATCAAGATCCAAGAAAGAGATCTTTGACAAAAGAGTTGAAAAGTGAAAAAGGAAGAAAAAGAAAAAGAGAAATTAGAACAACAACAACAATAAATTTTAGAAACGATATTAGAGAAGTATGACAAAGAGGATAAATAAATTTAAGTTGCCAAGTAGAGCAAGCCAAAAATAACAAAGAACTAAATATCGAAGATGCCCCAGACTTTGAGGCATTTGAAGAAGCAAAATACACAGCATGAAGACACCCTAAGTTTACTCTAAAATAGAACCGCTGCCCACAGTGAGGACAAGGTATGCTCATAGTGGCTTGACTACGTTCTCTTGCTTCCCTTCATATCCAAAGGCGCTCGTTCACACGATCGAGGGCGCTTCGCCAAGGACCTCTTCATCAAGGCATCCTTTATTCTCTTCTTCCCTTCCCTTACATACAATTGATCGACTGTTTTTTTTCCCCCTTAGTGGACTTCCCAAAACTGACATGGCGGCAAATGGAATATTCCCCCAGTTCTACATCACACCCCACCTATTGGGCTCTGTCCCGGAGCACACAGCTCCACGGCAGCTTCATCTCGCTCATGGTACTTGCGCAGGCGAGCTCCATTAACACGAGTTGGTAACAAGTTCCCACTAAGATCTTCAAGCTGGATTGAGCCATTGGTAAAAACGTCAACAATGCGATATGGGCCAAGCCAGCGAATATGGAGTTTCCCAGGATTTTTCCAGTGCTTGCTATCATATAGCAGAACCTGATCACCAGCAGAAAAATTCTTAGCACACAAATGACGATCGTACCAGACTTTGTGGCGCTTCTGAAGAGCTTCGCGAGCTTGGAAGGCGAGAAGTCGACGCTCGTCGAGTTGAAGAAGTGTGTCCAGTCGAGCTTGAAGAGTGTTGTCCCAGCCCAAGTTGTGCTCGACAGCCATACGGAGAGATGGAATCTCAAGCTCGAGTGGTAGGATGGCTTCTTGTCCATAAACAAGCTGGAACGGTGAAGCTTTGGTGGTGACCTTGTAAGCAACGCGGTATGCCCAGAGAGCATCCAACAAGCGTTGATCCCAATCTGTGCGAGAAGCACTGGCAAGCTTCGTGATAATGTTGCACAGTATCTTATTGGTGCGCTCCACCTGTCCGTTAGCACGAGGGTGATAGGGAGTGGACTTACGATGAGCGATGCCATACTTCTCCACCAAGGTCGCAATCACTTGATTGATAAAGTGAGTACCTCTATCGCTCACCAGCTCCAAAGGGCAGCCAAATCTCGTGATGATGTTCTTGTAAAGAAAAGTCGCAACCTTGGCAGCTGTGTCTTCCGTGAGAGCTTCTGCCTCGGCCCACTTCGTGACATAGTCCGTGCACACGAGAATGTAGCGGCAACGGGAAGGATGGCTGGCTGGCTTGATCGGTCCCACAAAATTGATGCCCCACTTCTCAAAAGGAAGCACCCGAAGTAGAGGATTAAGCGGCATCAGATCACGGCAAGTTGGGCGACCAGCACGCTGGCAGGGATCGCAGGTCCGAACGTAGGCAGCATCATCCTTGTGAAGCGTTGGCCACCAATAGCCAGCTTGAAGAACCAAACGAATTGTTGCCTCAGCTGAAAAGTGGCCGCTATAAGGTGAATCATGGCATGAAGTGATAACAGTGGCCACCTCGTGAGGAAGGATACAACGGCGTAGAACGTCGTCACGGCTGAGGATGTAGAGCTGGCCATGCAGGAGAGAGTATGGACGAGCCTGGATAATAAGTCGCTTGCGTGCGGTGACAGTAAAGTCAGAACGCGCCGGTAGCCAGATAATCTGCAATCCCTTGATACCATTCGGGAACAGCGTCGACTGCAAAGAGATCCATGCTGTCGCAAGAAAACAGAGTTGCATCAGCTGGGTCATCCTCAAGGTTATGGGAGGAATAATCGGTGTATCAAATATATATATATATATATATATATAATTGGATATGCAGGACACAATTGATTGGATTGAAATAGGGCCTGGCAATCGTGAAAGGTGATCGGCCATGGCATGAGCGCGGCGGGGTTTCAGGATCACCTCAAAGTCAAATTCCTGGAGGATGATGAGCCAGCGAGATATGCGACCTGTGCGGCAAGGCTTGTTGACGAGGTACTTGAGTGCTTGGTGATCCACGAAAAATTTGAAGTGTGTGCCCAACAGGTAGTGGCGATACTTCTGAATAGCAAAGATCATGCCTAAGCCTTCCCGTTCAGTGGCGGAGTAGTTGCGCTCGGCAGAGGAGAGTTGGCGGCTTGCGTAGAAAATAGGGTGATCGATGCCCTCTCGCGGCTGGCAAAGAACAGCGCCGACAGCAAAGGCAGAAGCATCCACGTGGATGTGAAAAATAAGTGTCCAGTCAGGAACGGCTAAAATCGGAGCAGTGATCAGAGCTCCCCGTAGAAGCTCAAATGCGTCCTGTCACGCTGGTGTCCACTCATAAGGCACACCGGCCTTCAAGAGTTTCGTCAGAGGCAAAGTTTTAGTCGCGAAGTCGTAGATAAAGTGGCCATGGTAGCCGACATGGCCCAAGAAAGCTTGAAGATCTTTTTTAACGCGCGGTGGTTCCAGGTTCTTCACGATAGCCACCTTATCTGGATTCACAGCTAATCCTTCCCGGGAGACCACTCGACCAAGAAGAATGCCACGGGAACGCCAAACGTACACTTAGAGGGATTGAGAGAAATGCCATAGAAATGGCAACGTTCAAAGCATTTTTTGAGTTTTACGCAATGAGATATAGCGTCGCTATAAACGTCAAGAAAAACTTCCAGAAAATCTCCAAGGAGCCGTTGAAAGGCTGCTTGCATGACTCGATGAAAAGTTGTGGGACTATTCATGAGTCACCCTGTAGCAAAAACATCCCCACGGAGTGATAAACGGGGTGAGATGTTGATCATCAGGATGGATAAGAACCTGGTGATAGCCACTAAAGCCATCAAGGAACGAGTAAGTCGTGTGTCCAG